CCTGTGATAAAAAAGAATTGGAATAACATTAGAACATGATTCCTACAATATAAACCTAATATAAGATAAAAATGATTTTCTTTAATGAAAAAGAAACATTAATGCTATATTTAATTTAAAAAAAAACTTAAGATACTATAAATTTACTTTAGGACAACAAAATGCATAGATCGTAACTACTCTGATTCAGAAGAATCATTGCTGACAGAATCTTCCAAATTTATACTATCCAAATCACAGGTAGATGAAATATCCTCATATATGTATAAGATATTTCTGTACATCATTTTCTAATATGTTACTTTTTCGCGTTGTTACTGTTCTTTTTGTTGGTATGAGGGGTTCGGATGTTAATAGTTACCTCTTTAATAGACCATATCCATATATTATTTTTTCGTTTTCTTGGGTATGAGGTTTTATAATAAATTGAAAGATGGGGAACATTTTTTATGCCACGTTTCGCTCCAACATAGTGGGCTCAGGCACAAGTGGTTATCTCATTGGACTGGAAGGTTCATCAATATCTAATAAAGAACACATTTTTTGAAATATAAATAATTTTGAGTTCTTGTCCTTATGATCAAGCCAAGTATTAACCAGATCGGCATTGCTTATCAATTTTACTCCATCTGAAAAGTATTATAAAATAAAGTTCGTCGCAAGCAGACGCAGGTGAACTATGCAAAAATTAAAAGTGTATGAATATGGCAAGAAAAATATTCAATAAATACGATATGTTTTGATATGTTTTTTTTAATGCCCTTTTGAAGTTTGAAAACGTAAAATTTTTATACCCATTTAAGAATCATCTTAAAAAATAAATAAAAACTAAACAATAACGAACTTGTTTAGAAATAAATTTAAAGTACATACCTTGTTTAACAATATCCATAGTGACTTTCAATTAAGTACGTAACGTTTAACTCCATATACAGAACTACTATGAATGTTATTCTTTTCACTGATATAAGATAATGATCGCAAAATTTATTTTTAGTGAAAATATTTGCTAACAAAAAACGCTGTTTATGAAAAATAATATACAGAATGGTTGAACATTGCTATAAATATAAAATTACATATTCAGATATTAGTAAATTTTAACTTTTTTTTCGATTTTTGTCCACGGGACGAAGCACTGTGCGCCGTCATACTTGTATCTAACACCCATTCCTCTTTCCTGCAGTTTGCTGTCCACTATAATAGAGAGCGCTGCCATGAATATGTTGAATAGGAGAGGAGCTAGGACACATCCCTGCCTAACTCCTGTATTTGTCAGGAAGAGATCGCTCAGTGATCTATGATGTGACACTCTCGACTCTCGGCAATATTAATAATATACAGGATGTCCGAGAAATAAGTGCAAGTATTTTAAGGGGTGGTAGAGATCTGACCAAAAGAAACATATTTTATCTTTACCATGATGTGAAAATTTAAGTATAAGTTAGAGCGTCATTTTATCACTTTACCTAAAACCTCAACTCTCCACTTATAACACTTCATTTCACTGCGATTCTTGACAGCACTACATTTAAATACCCACGTGTATTTGGCACAAAATACATTCATATGCCATCTGAATTATTTAGTATTATTTTTGGGAATTTGAACTCCTGTTTTTGTTTTTCTATCTCATACTCTTGTTTTTGTGAATAAACACCATAATAATTGATACTTCTGTTTGAATAATAAAAGGAAAATATCCGGAAATATCCAGAAAATGTCAAGAAAAATATAAAATTTTCAACATTTTTATATCGCAAAAAACTCATGGGCGTGTTTCTGTGGTCGAGCTCTACCAGTTAAAGTACTTGCACTTATTTGTGGGACACCCTGTATATCAGGGTTGTCAAAAATCATTATTTAAAAAAAATCAAGAAAATAGATTATATTTAAATCAGATTTTTTTTATTTAAATCAGAATATTTTTTATTTAAATCAGATTTTGTTTAATATAATATTTTTTGTAATAGAAAACATTATTTAAATCGGATTTTCAAATAATTAGGACTTATTTCCAATTAAAATCCTATCCTAAAAAAAATCTTCATAAAGCTTCATTCAGAACCTTGCAATTAGTGGAACAAATTAGTGGTTTCAATTACACTTTATACTTTTTAGTTTACGATCATTCACAATGTTTAAAAAACACAATTAAAATTAAAAGAATATCTTAGCAACAGCTTGCGTTAGCCAGTTGTATCCATAGAGAAAGCCTAATATTTAGCTTATAAAATAAAACAATCAACTTTTGATTTCTGACCACCATTTCTCTTGACGGAAGATAATCAAAGGCCAAAACATTGCCTGGAAACTTATATGGTGAAATTTTGATAAAATAATTTAGTACTCACTAAAAACATGTATGTCGCTAGTGGTAGGAAAAATAATTTTTAGAGGTTACTAGTTTATTTGGTTGCCTGTGATATGCATATACAGGGTGTTTCCTAATTAATCTAAAAAATAAAAAATCGTTAAAAAACGGCTTAAGGCGGGCTCTTAATAAGTATATTTATTTTTTTCTCGGCAACCGTTTGATGAACAAGAAAAACTCAAAAGATCAATTTTGTTGAAAAAGGATGGCCAGTCAAGAAAAAAATATATTTTCTTTAAAAAAGCAGTAGTGTACCATTTATGTTAAGCAAAATATCGATTTTTTTTAATTTTTAACACCCTGTAGATCAGAAAGGAAGTACTCTAGACCTAATGGCTATATAAAAATTGTTTTAAGAAAATTTTTTAGACTAATTAGAAAACACCCTGTATATTGTCAACTTGACAATGATTGTTGCCAAATCAAAAAATACCATATATATATAATAAAAATACAATTTTTTGTGAAAAAAGCCCGATTTTCGAAACGGAAGGGAAAAATTTTGATTTTTATTGAATTTGAGCCTGCGTCTGCAAATACCGGTATGTTTTTTAATATTCTATCTATCTAAATTTTAAATATCATAGTCGGAAATAGTTTTATTATTTATTAACTGTAAAAATGGTATACTTATAAGTTTTAACAAATATTGTGATTTACTTTCTACCTTGTAGTCAAAATTTATATTTAATAAACTGTAAAATATATATATATTCTTATGTTTTATTAAAGTTACTCTGATATACTAATATATCAGTGTAACTTTATAACTAAATCCTTTGAAATCAAATATAAACATAAAAAATATTTTTAGCAGAAAAGGCGAAGGCGCTGGGTTAAACGTAGTCTCTACTAAGAACACGGAGTGGCGCTTTGACCAAAATTTTACTATTAAATTTCATATCTATCTTAATAGAAGATTATTTTCTTTTATCTATGGGCCAAAATGACATTTCTCGCAAATTTTGAAGTATAATTAGTGGAAAAGTTAACAGTTTGATAACTTTTTCTACTATTGAAAACGTCTACCACTAATTTTAACTTTCTGAATGCTTACATTGAAATTAGAACTAACCTCTACCCTAATTGGCTTAACTCTGCCCGATATCGATAACATTAACTCCTCTCTGTATGTTTCTTCTATCTATTCTGTTATAAAAACAGTTGTTTAATGTGGTAATCTTTCCTCTGCAAAAAAACATTCTTGTTAACTCTTCATCCTATCTTATAAATTGAACCTTTTAAGAGACACATGTCAAATGTTTACCTTTTCATTATAGATATTACGTATATTATTAGACTATCCAATAAACACGTTCTGACGTCAAAGTCGTGTTGATATAACTGTTTCTTATCAATTTTATTAGGTCTATCTTTAAATGAAAGGCTTGGTGTGTTGACACTTGTATGTAATATCATATCGATGGTCTTGAAATCTTCGTGTATCACAACGTTTACTTAGTCGTTTTAAGTATTTCCTGAACATTTTTTTCTCTCTGATTAGATTTCCGCATTATATAAGAAGGTTCATATTTTAGACTGGTTCTATATTACAAACTGGGGGCTAAATTACTGCCGGCGGTATAGATAATTGACGGAAGAAAAACCGCCGTTAGACGGTTTTACATAGGTTTTGAATACCGCCGAACAATTTTTTCAAATTCGGCCGGTTGTTGCTAAATATATACAGAATACCGGCGGTATACTTAAAAAAAACAAAAGTACCGCCATTATTTTGCCAAATTTTATGTGTTATTATTTTTTCCAACGTTCCGCGATTAGATATACTGTTGTCAAAATAAAACTACATCTTATTGCATACAAAAATAAACATTTTTTGAAATGAAAACTAAACTTTTTTATCGCCTAATCGAAATGTAAAAATAGAGGTTGTTACCTATCATTTCGAAATGAGTTCATCAGAATGGAGGGACTCAAAATAGCTATAGCAATCAAAAGCGTCAGCGGTGCGTAAGCGTGTTTTGATTGCTTTGGTTTCACTCTTTATATTTTTTTTAATTTTTCTCTGTTTGATTAATGCGCATCATATTACTTTGAATATTTTGATTTTAAAATTGAATGTTCAAAATCATTTTTTTATGATTAACAAATAATGTCAACCGCCAACTTATTACTATTTAAATTCTCTTTATTATGTTGAAGATAAAGTTGGAATTGCGGATCACAATTGTGTCTAATTATAATTTGTATAAGATTAATATGTATAATGATTCAGTACTAAAAATGAGTATAGCATTAGTCAGTTTTGAGATATGTAAGTGATCATTGGATTTTAAACTTAAGAGTAAAATTTATAATCGTATGCTTCTTTATTTGTTTCAAAAAAACAATGTTTTATTGCTTTTATTCGCCAATGAAACAAAGCACTTTAAACTTCAGCCACAAGATTCAAAATTCTCGGCGCCATGTTTCTCAGAAGTCTTCAGTTTTCAATTTTTTTTTAAGTGAAACTTCTTTACGGGCGCTGGGAGTAAAAATTCAAGGCAAACGTGACAGTTCAGCGTGACACGAGCTAGTGAGACGAAAAGTGGTAACGATCGCGCAAGTGCCATAAAACATTTGATTTAAAGCTAAAAAAATCATTATAATAAACTTGATACTGTACCTCTGTGTCAATATCCTCTGGTTGTGTGCTAGGAAGTAAATTTTCAGGCTCATTTTCATCGGTAGGTGTGTAGCTTCTGAATAACGGTCTAGGTGCAGCATCTAGCTCATAATTAAAATTATTCGAGTTAAAAAAAATCCTAAAAAGCTTGCTAAAAAAATTAGCAAAATCATGATGTCATTAGCGACGAATACCAGTTTTTTTTTTAATTTATAAAGATTTGCAGCTTTAGATTAGCATTGTCGCACCGTATATTAATATCCATTGCCCAACTTTAGAATAATTTTACGTTAGGTTGCTAAAGCATAACGACAAATTTCATCAGCCAGCCGGTAATTTAAAAATGAATCATCGATACACGGAGGCAAAACAACTTTCCATCCACACGTTCCATTTTGTTTATTTTGCTATCAGTCTTGATTTGATTTGCAAATTAGAAATTAGTGGAATATCTATCATAAAATCTTAACGTACCAATTTACTAAACGATACTTAAAAATTATTTGGAAAAAAAGAACAAATTAGAAAATTTCAAATTGCTTTAATAAGATAGAACAGATTTTGTACATATTAGTAGCTGTAAATATGTAAATAACCAATAAAAATTATTAATTAAACATTAAACACAAATATATAAAAAACTATATATATTGACTTGATTTTGAAAACCAGTCAAAATTATTTAAAAAGAAATAAGATTTTCGCAAATCTAAGATTTGCCAACACTCGTGGAACACCGAGCTCAAAATGGATTGAAACAAGTATTAGATTTTTGTAATAGCTTCGATGATGGGAGAGATATACCCCTTGAAACGTTAACGTTTTTTTTAATAAAAAAAATTGGTCAAGTGCGAGTCGGACTCGCGCACGAAGGTTTCCGTACCATTCATTATCTATACAACATTAGACACTATATTATTCTGTTCCCCTATAAGTAACTGTCCAGTTATCAACCTGTATAGTAATATAATGCTGTTTTATTATAAATATTATTTTCAATTTATTTCTGTAATCTGTACATTTTCTGTTTCCTCAATAGCCTGCTTAAAAGTTATTTTTATTTTAATCCCTAGTAACGGGTTCATATTGCTAAAGAGCATGAACAAATATAAATAGGCTATTAATTATTTATTGTCACACGTGGGAAAATTTTAATTCAGTTAGTAATTTAGTAATAAATATTGGTAATGTTATGAGACCCTGATTTAGGATAAAAGCCGATTGTTTTGGATGGAATGATTGGGAAAAAACAACTCGGCCCGTCTACCAGCGCATCGACACGTAGGCCTATTAATTTAACTGGGACGCCGCTAATGAAAAACAAAACGGAAAAGTATTTATATCAATCCAGCTTCGATTACCGATAGTAAACAAGAATGACATTGCCGCAAGTCGTTTATTCACAGGACGCGTATACAATAGAACATTGTTTTTATTTTTTTGGTTCGTACATCTATTGTAGTTGTTACTATGGATTATCTGCAATTTTTCAACAATAAAAATGTTTATCTAACAAAATGACTAAAACCTCGGACAAAGAATATAAACAGAAAACGTTACCGTACATAACCAAGGTACTTATTTTTACTTATTTATTAAGAACATTTTTTAATGAAGATCGTATATGATTATTTATAAATTAATAACATTATTTACATCAACAAAACTTACCTTCTTAACAGCATTTAATGAACATAGAGGGCCATTACTCCGCTTTCCCGTTCAAAATATTCTAATAAAGTTGCGATGAGTTTTTTACGGCTATTAAGCTATCTTGTACAGGGTGCCCCATTTGCGTTGAAATCATGCAGTATCTTCACGTTATTGGTAAAAATAGGAGGATGCGGTTTGCACAAACCGAAAATTTGGCAATTTGGGACAGCCCCCGTGTCTCCGTTATTTTGGATGATATCGAGAAAGTGAAAACTGATTCTTGTAGAACTTTTTACGTAGAATACAGTGGCGTAGTCTGTTTTTCTACGAAATAAATATTTTTGAAAATATGAACTAAAGTTATTTTTTTTTAAATGGAACACCCTGTATATTTATAAATCATATGATCCGCCTTGCTATGAGCTTCTCAAATATATGTATATATCACTCTATATTTGTTTTTACTATTTACTGCAATATTTAAAATATATCATTTTCTTATTAGTAGGCAGTGGAAAATGACAAAATCAAAATAGTATTTACTAAAATAGACATACACATATTAAAATTTTATTTGGAATTGATATGTTTAACTTTTGAACTGTTACCACTGAACCTTTTAATATATTTTTCTCTTCTTTATAACGGAATTTATTATAATGGGATATGGGTTTGCAAATATCTAAAAGCTTGCATTATTAAATCCTCAAAATCATATTTCAAAAATCCTCAAAATAAAAAATCGAGAACGGACAAATCCTGGAATCAGGGAGGTCATCATATGGGTACATTGGCTCCAATTCATTGATTTGAGAAATAATAATTTAACAAAATTCTAATATTTTCGTTGTAACTTAAGTTATGAGGGGGAGCCCGATCTTGCTGAAAGTATATTTCACGTAAATTAATTATTTAAGGAATATTTAAAAGTTCCGATACGATAGCTTCCATGATTTACAAATAGCGGTAGAGATTTAAGTTTCCCTAATATATAAAGAATTAATTAGTGTCTCTCAAAATAAAACAAGAGACAGATAGCACTAAACTTTTAATAATTCTTTAGTTTCTTTTATTATCAATCATGGTCTACTACATAATAAATATGATCTTTTAATATATTTTTTTTGATATTGCATTTTTTTTAGTAGAAATTTATTAAATAGATCACTATAACTGATGATATTCCGCACGTACCTACCTATCTACTTCTTGGTTACCTTTAATTAAATAAAAAAACCTTCAACTTATTGTTATTTTCGTCTTGGTAATGTTTCAAATTAAATGTTTGATCACCTCGAATCAGCGCGACCAATCGAGCTTTTTTGTTTCCAATAAAGCATAAAGCACACAATATTTTTTTGGGTCAAGCACTGTAAGTTATTTGGTCGTTAACTAGCAAAATAAAAACACTAAATCACCACATTATGTGGTGATTAGTCACCACATATTGTGGTGATTTAGTGTTTTTATTTTGCTGTGTAACACCAAAGGTTCCAACCCTCAACTGTAATCGTCGTTAACTATGTTTAATGCTAATTTTAATTTACACGCTATTTTAATTTCATGAATATTAATATCACTTTTTCTTAAAAACCAAAACAACTTGTCATCAATCACACGCTCTCACTTCATATTTAAATTATTTATTTTAATTAAATAATATAGTAAAAAACATTGATCAGGTTTAAAACATTTACTGTTATTCTCGAGTAAAAACTAGTTTTTATAGTAAATTTTAAACAATGAAACACTAATGTAGAATGAATGGGAATCACCGTGAACTTACTTACTACTGAGTGTTCCCCTTTTTTGAGTTATAACTCATCATACAGTCTCAGAGCTTTGACGAAAGCCAGTATCTGAGACGTCTTCACAGAGGCTAATTCTCCATCTCTGATATCAGTCGTACTGAAGTTTATGGCACGAATAGTTGTCGTCTCGTTGCAATTAGTGGTGTGTTCTGGCGTTTCCCCATTTTCCCCACAGAATCTACATTCGCAGTTACATCTTAGGTTCAATCTACTGAGGTATTCTTTGAGGAGACAGTGTTCTGTTAAAAATGCCGTGATAATCCGACGATTGTTCTTACTTAAATCAAGGAAAGTCTTCGATTTTTCTCGGTCGTAAGTTCTGAGAAATTTCTTCGAGTGTTGGAGGATTCCCATTCCAGGTTACAGATGAAGCCTTCCAGGTTCTTGAGTTCCGCTTTAAGTTGGTTTCCCCTTGGGAAGCAGAACGGTTCTGGTCCATTTTTGCTCCTTTTCTAGCTAAATCGTTTGCTTTTTCATTGCCTTCTATCTCTTCTTGACCTCCCTACATATATCTCCCCTGACATATCTATCTCATCATATTTGCTGATGATTTGGTTATTTACTATTCTTCTAGATCACCCAGAGTTTGTCAAAGAAAAATCCAACAAAATCTTAATTCCCTTCGAAAATGGTCTAATTGCACTGGATATTCCTTTTCTGCTTCCAAGTCCTCTGTAATACGCTTCTGCAAAATAAGAAGTTGCACTCAAATTGATGATATTAAACACCAGAATCATCCTATTCCTAGTGAAGGTCAACATAGGTTTCTTGGATTGATCTTGGATAGTTCACTATCATGGAAGCCTCATATATCTTATGTTAAATCAAAGTGTCTCAAACATCTCAACATAATTAAGGCTTTTGGTAATTCTAAATGGGGTTCCCATCCAACTTGTCTTCTTCAACTACTTAATAGTTCTATACTATCTAAACTTGACTATGGTGATGTTGTCTATAACTCAGTCTTACCTAAAATCCTTGGATACAATACTCCACCAGGGGCTACGATTATCTTTGGGTGCTTTTCGCACCACACCGGTGGAGAATCTTTATGCCTCATCTGGATATTCTTCCTTGTATCATAGGGGAATTCTCCATACTCTTAATTAGGGAATATCCATTAAGTCAAAGCCTTTTTTTGATTGACTATCGCAAGTTCTTCGACTTACAAGACTAAACGTATACGTGAAACGTATACTGTTCATCTAAAATACCAACGCCCCATTAATATAAGATACCACCTATTTTCCTCCCAACAAAACATTCCTAATATCCCTGTATCCACTTTTTCCGACACACTGCCCCCTGCATAGAAGGATCCTATTTCAGTTAATATGGAACTTTGTAAATTAAAAAAATCTGAAACATCCAGATATCTTTACAAAACTAGTCTAATACAAATCTTAGACGAAAAATATCGTTACTATATTTGTTTTTACACAGATGGCTCGAAATCTGACCAAGGTGTTGGCTGTGCTTTTTACAACCCGGTTGCTAATAAAAAATCAGATTACCTAATTTCTCTGGCATTTTAACAGTCGAACTCACAGCTATT